AAATCGGCAGGAAAAAACCTGATCGGTACTCGACTGAAAACTGAAGGATCTGCCTTCCATTCTACTTTTAGAACCTCCAGGAACCAACAGGAAACCTGCAGTCTTAGAGCAAAGTTCTGTGTTAGGAACATATATGTATGATGGAGCAGATTATTAAGGTTTGTATGTGAGAAGGACAGTTTTAAATTTCATTCTGGACCTAACAGAGAGCCAATGAAGAGAATTTAAAATAGCAGAAATCTGATCTCTCTTTTTGTCATCAGAAGTCTTACTGCAGCATTTTCTTTTAACTGCATTTTATAAACTTCTTGATTGTAAAGAATTATGAGCCTTGAAGTAACAGATGCATTGAGTGGTTTTTCAGCATAGCTCCTGGACAGAATATTTCTAATGTTGACAATATTATAGAGAGAAAATGAATTAAATCATAGAACCTGTTTAATATAGGATTTAAGTGACACATCCTGGTCAAAAATAAGACCAAAGTTCCTTACTCTGTCACTGAGGGCCAACTTAATACCATCTACATAAAATGATTGTGTAAAGAGTTTCTTTTTTAAAGAATGACAACATCTGAATTTAAAATCAGAAAATTTGAAGTCACCAAGGTTTTCAAGACATGCTTATAGTCTACCAAACTGATTGGATTTATGGCTAAAAATAGAGCATTATTAGCATAGCAGTGAAAATTTGCTGCTGATTTTAAACCTTCAGTCTCCTGTTTTTAACTCTGCAGGTAATCTGCCTTTTTTGGATCATTTTCTCACAGGTTTTCCGTGATGAACTGTCATCTGTGCATCCATGGGTCTCCATGCACGTATCTGATCACAGTGGGTTTCACTACCGGCAGTTCCTTCTCAAGGAGTTACTGAACACTGAACTGAGCCAGTCTTTGTCTTCTGATTCTGCTAGCACAATGTTTTGTCCATCCCAGCACCAGAGCAATACAGTCCATAGCACCTGTCCTCAGGCTAATGGTGAGCTGTCATTGGGTGATGCAGCCTGTGGGGATAGGATCACTACAGTATTTAAACTTTTTTACCAGGAGACTGAACTATGCTCTGACCTGATTCAGTCTTTTCCTGGACATGAAACACTCTGGAGTCACAGGTAAGCTTTCATAATTTGAATGTACACATTAGGAAAAAATATGTCTGCAGTACATATTGGTTCAAGACATTTATGGAGAAGCAATTTTCTAAAGAGATTTTTGGTATTTCGTTCTGGATTTTAATTTTGCTGAGGGAAGCTTATGTACTTTTGAAAATAAATTACTTTTTGTTTTTGATGAGTGTTGAAACCATGGTTTTCTGAAACTAGGTCTTAATTCACATGTAGAAAGAGTTTTGACAACCACCTGTTCACAATCATTCAGACCAGATGTTGGTCTATAACCAAGCTGCTTTTCATATTCAAGACATAAAACTCATCGTCTGATCCAGCAGACGTGATGGAATCTTGTATTGAATATATACTGCAGGTATACACTCACTGGCCACTTTATTAGGTACACCTTGCTTGTATCGGGATGGACCCCCTTTTTGTTTTCAGACCTGCCTTAATCCTTTATGGCATTGATTCAACAAGGTACTGGAAACATTCCTCAGAGAGTTTGGTCCATATTGACATGATGGCATCATGCAGTTGCTGCAGATTTGTCGGCTGCACATCCATGATGTGAATCTCCCGTTCCGTCACATCCCAAAGGTTTTCTATTGGATTGAGATCTGGTGACTGTGGAGGCCATTCGAGTTCAATGAACTCATTATCGTGTTCAAGAAACCAGTCTGAGATGATTCACACTTGATGACATGAAGCATTATCCTACTGGAAGTATCCATCAGAAGATGGTACACTATGTGTAAAGGGATGGTCAGCAACAATAACAACACCACCACTCAGGTAGGCTGTGGCATTGACACGATGCTCAATTGGTATTAATGGGCCCAAAGTGTGGCAGGAAAATATCCCCCACACCATTGCACCACCATCACCAGCCTAAACTGTTGATACAAGGCAGGATGAATCCAGGCTTTCTTGTTGTTGACCTCAAATTCTGACCGTACCATCTGAATGTCGCAGCAGAAATCGAGACTCATCAGACCAGGCAAAGCTTTTCCAATCTTCTATTGTCCGATTTTGGTGAGCCTGTGTGAATTGTAGCCTCAGTTTCCTGTTCTTAGCTGACAGAAGTCAGAGATGCTCTTCTGCATACCTCGGTTGTAACAAGTGATTATTTGAGTTACTGTTGCCGTTCTATCAGCTCAAACTAGTCTGGCCATTCTCCTCCGACCTCTGACCTCAACAAGGCATTTGCGTCCACAGAACTGCAGCTCACTGGATATTTTCTCATTTTCAGACCATTCTCTCTGTAAACCCTAGAGATGGTTGTGCATAAAAATCCCTGTAGATCAGCAGTTTCTGAAATACTCAGACCAGCCTGTCTGGCACCAATAAACATGCCACATTCAAAGTCACTTAAATCACCTTTTTCCCCATTCTGATGCTTGTCTTGTCTTGGTCATGTCTACATGCATTAAGTTGTTGCCATGTGATTGGCTGATTCAACATTTGCATTAATGAGCAGGTGTGCCTAATAAAATGGCCTGTGAGTGTAAAATCAGTAATAAATTGCAGTAATAATCATTTTCTCTCTTCCAGGCGGCATGTGTACTACTTATGGCACCACTGGAGGCAGGATCAAGATATCTGCAGTGTCGGCAAAGAGAATGAGTTGAAGCCTACTGGAATCAATGAGCCAGGTGGCAGCCAGGGGAAGAGTGTGGACAGACATAAACATGTTGGTGTTCCTATGGAGGTGGATAGGGTGTCCTTGCCTGACCATGACAGCAAACGTCTAAGGAGAGGAATCCTTCTGCCCAACCTTCTGACCCTACAAAATGAACACACCTTTGTTAACAGCATACTGAACAGTTGTTGTAATGCTGAGCAGAACAACTATGCTGTGGCATACAAAAAGTGGTTAGATACTGTCATTAGTGCCCAGTCTTTAGACATATAAGATCTAGGCCCATACATTCAACACTAAAGTGGCCTTTAGATATTGATTTAGGAATAACTTACTTATCTGTAGTTATAATTAAAATGAGGGGTATATTAACATGGAGTTACATTCAGAACTATCTTCCATGAGGAGGCAGTGTGCAAGATCGATCAGTTTGAGGGTGTTCTTCAGAATCCTGTTTGAGTGTGATTGAGCCACTTATTCTGTCTACATAGACCCTGTTTGTGTCTGACAGTAAATAGTCTTTATTTTATGTCTGCCCAGGACTTAGATCAAATTTCTGTTTCTCTTCATATGTGCAAGCAAAAATTATGTGAAGTTGTTTGTGTAGCAGAATAGAATCAGATGAGAAAGTGCACGAAGAAGAATTGGTTTTACTAACGGTCATTAGACATGATAGTGTGAAGTTTTAAAATAGCCAAATGGAATGAAAAAGTAAAATAATGAAATGAATTAACTTTTTGCAGTTTATTTTTTTTCATGTTAAATAGCAGACTACTGGAAGCGATATCACCTGGAACTTTTTTTCTATTATTTTTCAGCTGTTCACACTGTATTTTCAAATCTGATAGAAAATATTGCATACATGTTTTTGACCTTGAACATTTTACTAATGTATGTACAATATATTCTTTGGTTTGTTTTTTAATAGTGGTAAACATAATGGTAAAGTCATGTTAAAGAGCTTACAATAAAAGTTTACCCACTTGTAATTTTAGTTTGAGGGGATTTTTTGATTAAGCTAACTCAATGTAGTAGTGCAAAACTGATGTGGGAGAAAGATAATATATGATTTTCAAAATGTTAAATCTGAAAGCTTTGCATATTCCGGCTTGGTCTTTTCTGTAATATCCCTTTTCATAAATGAAGAACTGTGCAGACATCAGAATGTCAAACAACAGTATCTTCAGTTGAAGGCTTCTTCATACAGGGTGGGTTCTCCCAGGTTCTCCGGCTTCCTCCCTCAGTCCAAAAACATGACTGTTAGGTTAATTGGTTTCTCTAAATTCTTCCTAGGTGTGTGTGTGTGCATGGTTGTGTGTCCTGTCTGTCTCTGTGTTGCCCTGCAACAGACTGGCGCCCTGTCCAGGGTGCCCCCCGCCTCTCTCCCGGAACGTTAGCTGGAGAGGCAGCAGCACCCCTCCTGACCTCACTAAGGGACAAGGGTGTAAAGAAAATGGATTGATGGCTTCTTCATACAGACCATTAAAGAAAATTCTGCCTTCCAAAGCCATCAACAGCTACAATATATTTTATTTTCCTTTACCGTAATGAAGTCTTTTTGAATTGAATTAAGCCCAAAGCAGCCATGTCCTTGGCAGATTAAATTTTAAATCATATTCACTCTATTAAGAAATTTAATAGGAAATTAGACATATACTTTAAAGAATTTCTGTTTCCATTCATGTTTTTTTAAAATGTATTTTATTTTAAAAATGTATTTTATATCATGCCAAATTTAAGACCTTAATGGAACAGTCTTTAACATTACAGCAATTAAAAACTTAGAATTGCTAAAAATATTTTTGCATGTTTCTACTGGTATTTTGGATGATTTAACTACTTGGAAGTAAGGATGCACAATGTATTGGCATCAATACTAGTGGCCAGTGTGGGGGAGCTGTGGTGTTGCAGGGGAAAAGCGTGACTCATATATGAAGGCCTTAGTCCTCATGCCGGTGGTCGCAGGCTTGATTCCCGGCCTGGTGACATTCACCACGTCTTCCCCCTCTCTCAACCCTGTTTCTTGTCAAACTACTTTCAAATAAAGGCCACCAGAGCCAACAAAACATTTAAAAAAAATACTACTGGTAAGTCACATTTGAACACATCAGTTAAGTAGAATGGGGCCAATAACAGCCAGTGTTGATTTACATCTTGTTGCTGTTTAGCATTTGATGGGTATTTAACTGAAGCAAAGAAGCAATGGAGGTAGTCATTTTTATGCAGTGTCAAAAGCTAGTCTGGATGCTTCTCTGTCATCCATCTGAGGGTATCGAAATACCTGAGATTCGACAGCCCCCCTGCCCTTAATTAAAAGATAATATGTCATTGCAGTTAATAAGTAAGTATTCAGCTGTTTTTTGTGTGTAAATCTTGAGTGACAATGAGCAGGAGATTGTAAAATCTCCATAGTCACAGGGCATTGAGAAAGTTGCAGTTTCCTGACTGCAGAGTGCAGAGACTTTGGGGAAATACTTTTGTGTGTGTGCTCTTAGAGAAAACATTCTTATGTTTTAAAGTTAAGTATTTACTTATCCTTCTCCAGTGAATAATCAAAGTTTTATTATTTACAGATTGATGTAACCTTTTTAACAGTCACTGAGATTCCTCCTTTCTCATATGGATATGGAGAGACATAATGTTAGGATGATGTAATCCCAGGGTGGGACAAGTGTAAGAAATAAGTATTTGGGGGAAATAAGACCAGATTTGATGGTTTTAATAAAACTAATTATGATTTTTGGTGGTATTAAATAATCTAGGAACATCCATTATATTCTATGCGGAAGACGTAGACTTAATGGTGACAAACATTTACAGAAGTAGAGGCATGTTCTTCTGTAGATATTGTTAGTCATCTACATAGATTTATTAGAGTTGATGAAAGAAAACTGATAGATTGATAGGATAGTTTGTGGGACCAATTCAGTATTAGGCTTTTAGAAGTCAGCCTGAAACTAGTAATACAAGGAAACATGACAAACATGTCAAACTGTTGCACGGTAAGGATAAGACTTAAGTACAAACCATGAACATGCTCTGTTTTGTCTTGTGGCAAATGCTTTAATCTTTTTTCTGTTTATCATAAGTTGTAAACATGGAAAAGTTAAAATGATGGAAAGTTGATCTAAGCTCTACAGGTTATATAATTGACAAGTTAAAATTGTGAGCAGTCAGATGATTTTTGATAACTGGCGAATTCAATGCTACAAATATCCATAATGAATTAATATTGAACAATAATTTCAGTAATTGGGAAGTCATGTGATAAACAGAGCAAGACTTTTTCATTTAAATAAGGTTTTAATTCCAAATGTATAAGATGCCTTAATTGGTAAGATAAGGGACAGAAAATGACACAAATGTTGCCTGAGAAAAGAAGTTGTTTTGGACAGAGAGTACAAAGATTGTGGTGAATCATTCACAACAGTTTCAATGGTAAAAAAGGAGAATTTTCCAGTAAAAGATCATTTTAAAGGTTCATGCAAAAAGTCACATAGGCATTACCCACAAAGTATAAAGCCAAAGCACTAGCTATTATTCAGGGTGGTGTCTCGGGACAGTCTTCGTGTTCACATCGGGAGAAGAGACCGTGAAGACCATCTGAATTTTGAGAACTTATTGAACAGTGGAACTGTCTCCGATGGCCGTCAGCTCAATCAAGCTGTAGTTCAGCAGTGAAGTTAGCATTAACCACATCGGACAATCAGATCATCTCTCCCTGTTCCTCACACCTCGGTACTCACCACTCATCCAACATGTGAAACCCACTGTGAGGAGAGTAAAGGTGTGGCCAGGGGGTTCAGACGCTGTGCTCCAGGATCGGTTCAGGAACACAGATTGGAATACTTTCCACCACAAAGACTTGGATCAGTATGCTTCATCTGTATTGGACCACATCTCCACTACCATAGACTCCGTCACCACCCATAAACGCATCACCATGTACCATGTTCATCCAGAAACCCTGGATGAACTGAGATGTTCGTCTCCTGCTGAAGGCCCGCAACATCGCCTTCAGGTCAGGGGATGCACAGACCTACAGTGCAGCCAGGGCTGAGCTGAAGAGGGGAATCAAGAAGGCCAAACACCACTACAAAAAGAAGGTGGAGGATCACTTTTCCAACTCCAACCCCCTTCAGATTCTCACAGACTACAAGAATCCCAACACCTCCCCCACCTCCTCTGATGTCTCCTTCCTCGACGAGCTTAACAACTTCTATGCTCGTTTTGAGAGGGGGAACACCACAACTGCAACTAAGGCAACCACCACCTCAGACCAACAGCCGCTGATTCTCCTCTCCACTGATGTAGGAGCGGCTAAATCCCACAAGGCTGCGGGTCCTGATGGCATACCTGGACGTGTCCTTAGAGCGTGCTCTGAAGAGCTGGCAGGAGTGCTGACGGAGATCTTCAACCTGTCCCTGGCCCGCGTTGTGGTACCGACCTACTTCAAGTCTACGTCCATCATCCCAATCCCCAAGAATTCCAACCCAACCAGACTCAATGACTACCGCCCGTTAGCCCTCACCCCCATCATCACCAAGTGCTTGGAGCGGCTGGTCCTAGCACACCTCAGATCCTGTCTCCCCCCCACATGTTTCATGGTATAAACCATGAACATGCATGTGCATTTTCATCCAAAAATGTGTTTTGTTTTTCCTTTTTCTTGCACATGAGTTTTCATCAAGAAATCTCTGTGTTGTTTTTCCTTGTGGCTCTCATGGACAAATTGGTGGACCCCCACCAATTTGCATACAGGCAGAACAGGAGCACAGAGGATGCAGTCTCCATAGTGCTGCACTCTGTCCTCTCTCATCTGGACAGCAAGAACACTTACGCCAGAATGCTGTTCTTAGACTTTAGTTCAGCATTTAACACTGTCATTCCATCACAACTCATTACCAAACTCGCCGACCTAGGCATCAGTTCACTCATGTGGAACTGGCTGCTCAACTTCCTGACCAGTCGACCCCAACATGTCCGGCTGGATAACCATCATTATAAACACCGGAGTGCCACAAGGCTGTGTGATGAGTCCCTTCCTCTACTCCATCCTCACCTACGACTGCAGACCTGTCCATGGCCCAAACGCCATCATCAAGTTTGCAGATGACACCACGGTGATCTGCCTAATCAGAGATAATGATGAGGCCGCCTACAGGGAGGAGGTGGACCGTCTGGCTGAGTGGTGTGACAAAAACAACCTGCAGCTGAACACGGAGAAGACCAAGGAGCTCATTGTGGACTTCAGGAGGAACGCTGACCTACACCCACCCATCCACATCAAGGGGACAGAGGTGGAGCGTGTAGACAGCTTTAAGTTCCTGAGGGTCCACATCTCCAAGGAACTGACCTGGACGACCAGCTGCTCCAAACTCATCAAGAAGACACACCAGCGCCTCTTCTTCATGATGACCCCGAGGAAGAACCACCTGTCCTCAGAGATCATCACAAACTTCTACCGCTGCACCATCGAAAGCATCCTCACCAACTACATTACAGTTTGGTATGGGAACTGCTCTGTCTCCGACCGGAAGGCGCTGTAGAGGGTGGTGAAAACTGCCCAGCACATCGCCAGGGCACCGGACATCTAGGACATCTACAGGACATCTACAGGAAGGGCTGAAAAGGGCTGGGAAAATCACCAAGGACTTTACTCACCCCGCACACACACTCTTCTCCCTCCTGCCCTCTGGGAGGCGTTACAGAAGCCTACGGACAAGAACCACCAGGCATCGGAACAGCTTCTTTCCCACAGCTGTCACGCTCCTGAACACCTCCTCACACAACTATAAGGACTGTACCCCACCCCCACCTCCCATAAACCAATAACATACGGACTGTCCTCAGACTCATACATACTCTGTATATAATCTGTATATAATCTGGAAATCTTATTTGCCATTATCTATCTTACATTGTATAATACATTGTATAATACAATTCATTTCTAACATTTCTGTATAATCTGCATAATCTGTATATG